ATTCTCTCTAGATTTTCAGTTACCATTTTTGAGCCAGGGATCAGGTAATCTGTTTTTCCTGTGCAGGCATAACATCTTACTTTTCTCCACATTAAATTTCATTTCGTTGTATTCAACCTTGTCCCATTTGGATCAAAAAAGCACAATATGCATAAACATAAAAATCTAGAGAGAATTGGTGGGCCCGTGGTTAGAATGCAGTACTACAGGCTAATTCTCAACATCCAGGAGTTTGATTCTGACAGGGTCATGGTTGATTCAGCTTTCATCATTCTGAGGGGGGTAAAGTGAGAACCCAGATTGTTTGGGGGGGGGGATATGCTGACTTTATAAACTGCTTACGGAGTGCTGCAAAGCATTGTGGAGTGGTATATAAGTCTAGATAATCTGCAATGTCCCTTCCAACTCTGTTTATGTGTAATCTAAGTGGAATTGCTATTGCTATATAGTTTATTCCAAGCGTGGATCCTTTCATGAGAAGTAAAACTAACATTCTGAGCAAAACTCCTTCTGTATTCCAGGCATTTTTATGGCTTTTCCCCTGTGTGGTGCCTTTTGTGGATAGTAAGTCCATTACTATAAGCAAAGGTCTTTCCATACTCTGCGCATTTAAATGGCATCTCTCCTATGTGGATCTTTTTGTGTATTTTTAGGTCATTGTTATGAGCAAAGATCTTTCCACATTCCATGCATTTACAGATTAACAGAGTTGGAAGGGACTGTCAGATTCCTAAAAGTGATACTGCCATTCAATTGGGAGGATGGGGGACTTGGAGTCGATTTATTAGTAGTGTCTTTGACAACTGACATTTTACAACTGGTTTCCTGGGCCGAAGCACCTTGAGATCCCCTCACCTTTTGTGGGAATGTTTATGATGGCCATGTGGGATGGTTCACTTTAATGTCTAACAATAACCATGGAAATACATGATTATCTGGTTCTCAGAGCAGCTGGTAAAGGGACCACCTTCACACATGAATATTGGCTACAATCTGCATTCTAACTAATGGGAGGGGTCTCTAATGCTTTAATTCTATCTGCCTTGCCTATCTGCCTTGCCTAAGGCATCCCCTAAGGGGATTCAGATGTTGCTTTGAACTGGATGTTTTCACTTCCACTTAATAAAAGGTTCTTTTTGAAATACATTGTTTCAAGAGTCTTCATTCTCTTAAGCAGAAGGAGAGGCATTCCTTATAGAAAGCAACATCTGCAAAATGGTCAACCTGGAGAAGCAGGGTCTACTGAGGGGACCCTGAAAACCATGTCTGAGCAAAACAGTGAACCGGGTGAAGCTGAATGATGCAGGGAAATGTCAAAGCCCCCCCCCCCCCAAACTGGAGGTATGCTCCCTGTATCCTGTCAAAGAGGATGTGGTGACCCTGGAGGACCCCAAAAAGCCCTGCTGGTCGATGATCGGCATCGGGATGAAAGTCAGCTGGGATGGGAGGACCAGAGGAGTCACCCTCACCCGGGGTAACTGAAAACCGGGTGGAAATTGGAGCTAGAAGCTCTATCTGACCAGGAGGAACTAAACGAAGCATCACTGAGAGAAGATCATCTGAAGAGACATATAACCCAATTGGTGATGGAAATTTTGGAAACTCAACGTCCGGAAGGACCCAGAACAGCAGCAAAGAAGCACTGGAAGGGCAGCAGCCGTAGATAATGCCAGGGGAGCTAACCCCACTCTGGGCACTGCTGATTAAGCAGATGGCACAGCAGCAGCAGCAGCAGCAGCAGCAGNATTTTAGACAACTTATATGCCGCTTATTTGCACATGGTGATTCAAGGCGGCTTACAAAATATAAAACCTATATTAAAACAATAAAACTAATAAAGGGAGAATTATGTAATATAAAAATAATAAAATCACCCTCACACACACAAACACATCGGCGACAGCACCACACAGGAGCCAAATAATGTGCTCTATTCTGCTCTTGGTACTCCAGGCCCACTGGCAGAACCAGGTCTTCAACCCCTTCCGGAAGAGTGCTAGAGTGGGGGCCACTAATTTCTGGGGGGATACTGTTCCACAGAGAGGAAGCCGCCATGGAGAAGGCTCTTCTGTGTCTCACCAGGTGTATCTCCTTAGAGGATGGGGCATGTAACATTCCCTGCCTCCATCTGGTAGATATAACTGGTAAGAGATGATCCGTTAGATAATCTGGTCCTAAGCCATGAAGGGCTTTAAAGATTATAACCAGCACCTTGAATTGCACCCAGAAGCAAATTGGCAGCCAGTGCAGCTCCTGAAGGAGAGGTCATATATCTGCAAAACTGGGGTCTGCACAAAATCATGCGGGCTGCTGTGTTTTCCAACAACTGGAATTTTCAGATGTTCTTCATGGGTATCCCCATGTAGAGCATGTTACAATAGTCAACACAGGAAGTGACTGGGGCATTAGTGAATGTGAGTAGGGCTTGTCGGTCCAGGAAGGGGCGTAACTGACGCACAACCTGTAATTGCGCAAAGGCCCACCTGGCCACGACTGTCAGCTGCCCTTTGAGCAGCAGTCATGACTCCAGGAGAACCCCCAGATTATGCACAGGATCTGTTTGGGGTAGTGCTACTCCATCCAAGACCAAAGGTGGCAATTTTCCCTTGGCCAACAAATCACAAACCGAGAGATACTGGAAGTTGCCATTGCTTACTTTCAACCCATTGCTTTCCATCCAGGCCCTCATAACCTCCAGGCACTGCGAGAGTGAGGACACGGCATCGCTTAACCCACCATTGGCTGAGAGATGCAACTGAGTATTGTCAGCACACAGCTGGATCTCTCCCCTCTTATCAACACTGACTGAGAGCGGCCACAGAAGAAGGAAGTGAGCCAGGGTAGCAGAAGACCTCTTTTCTCATCCCCCGAAACCACCCCAGGAGAATACCATGGTCCTCAGCACCCCCCTTCAGGTGGACTCAATGTCCTCCTTCCTCAGGAGGAGGAGGAGGTTCACCTAAAGAAGGTCTCTGGGGTATCATCTGCAGGTGCGATCAGTGTGGAGAAGTCTAAATAGAAGGAGGCATTATATAGAAGCGAAGATAAGACAGATGGGTAATCAGAGGATCTTAAATTACCTCCTGAGGCGTCTTGACTTTGATCTTCCCAAGGGAACCTCCTGAAAAATAGCTCCTGAGGGGGATTTGATGGATTCTTCTTTCCCTCAGGATCTCTGATCCCCACAGTGCAGCCCTTCCAATAGGAAAGGAAGGAAGAAAGAAGCAAAATTAATGTACATCACGAACTGGATTCCTATATTCAAAACACAACCTCAAAGCCCCCAACATCTATCCATGAGGTTGAGTGAGAAAACAATTGAACAACATCCTACAAGAATTGGTAAATTGCCAAGTATTATGAACATGAGAGAGGTTTGGGAAGGAGGGGTGAAGTATTCAAACATTCTCTATTCTCTTCTGAGCTGCCTAAAGTGTCTCACCTGCAACTCGTTCTGCTCTTTCTGCTCCTCCGCCTGGCTCAGGAAGAAGCCTTCCACCAGGGCCACCGCCTGGGAGCTGGTCTCTGCTCCACACTCTCGTACCCAGCTCTCCATCTCTGGGGGCAGAAGAGCCAGGAACTGCTCCAAAACAACCAGGTCCAGCAACTGGGCTTTGGTGTGCTTTTCAGATCTCAGCCATCGCCTACTAAAGTCATGGAGTCGGCTGCAAAGTCCTCGGGGACCTTCA